GTATGCATCATCTCAAATAGACATGCAAGACTCTATGAAGCCATGAATAACATCGGAAGAGGTTGGGAGTGGAGGTGGTGCATGCGACACTATGCAAGCAATTTGCAAAGGAAGACTAAAAGTAAAATTATGTATAATCAACTATTTCGAGTCGGTAAGCTTTCTTCATTTAATTTTGTTATTTGTTTTCATGTAATTTTGTCATGAATTTATCTAACCCGTGTGGTGGTTTATTTTGTTAGCCGGAGAAAAACGGTTGGAGAAGTTTGATCGTCAAGTTGAGCAATTTAAGAAGGTGGCCGCTGATAGAAATATTTCATGTGATAACTGGGTGGATCAACATCAGATTCGTTGGAGTTTAGCACATGATAACTACAATGGTGGTGGTCGTTGGTCTATCTTGACATCAAACATGGCAGAAAGCGTCAATGGTAGTTTCAAAGGTATTCGTGCACTTCCTATAGCTTCTCTTGTGCAACATACCTATTGGCGATTGGTGGAGAAATTCGATAAGTACAGGTTGGAGACAGGAGCAGAAATTAGAAATGGCGGTTCACAGTACTCCACCAAGTGCAAAGAGCTGATGAAGCCGTGGTCACAAAAGGCAATTGGACATTCTCTGACAGCTCCTGATCGACGTCAAGGCATCTATGTAGTTCAGACTCCTCCCAACAATTTCAACATGACGGGGTCAAACACACTCACAGTTCACTTTGACGATCAAAACCGGGCGGGATTTTGCACGTGTGGTAAATTTCAAGGAAATAAAATTCCTTGCTCTCATGCCATTGTAGCTTGCAACCGAATGGGGGCTAATGCGTATAGGTTTGTCAACGATGTCTACAAGTTGGAAACAGTGATGGCTTGTTATGGGACAAGTTTCGCACCTCTTGGTGAACCTAAGGGTTGGAAGAAGCATAATGGTCCTATTCTCCATCCTAATGTGCACATGATTAGGAAGCCGAGGAGGCCTCGAGTTACAAGGATTCACAACGAGATGGACTGGCCAAGGGAGGGTGCATCACACCAAGTGTGTAGCAACTGTAACCAAGCGGGACATAATGCATCAACCTGCGGTGGCCAAGCTAGTGGGAGTGGGAGCATCCGAGGAGGGAGTGGTGGCCAACGAAGTGCGAGAGGTGGTAGAAGAGGAAGTAGAGGTAATAGACGTGGCTGAGAGGTGGTAGAAGTTGTTGTATTTCTTTTGATTTACCATGTAAAAGTTGTTTGTTTGAAGATGTTGTTTGGTATGTATTTGTTATGTTTTTTTATCGTTAATAATAATAATCCAAAAATAATAGTCTAAATGAAGTACATAATAATAACAATCCAAAAATAATAGTCTAAAGGAAGTACATAATAATAACAATCCAAAAATAATAGTCTAAAGGAAGTACATAATAATAACAATCCAAAAATAAGGAAGTACATAATAATAATAGTCTCACTGACGACCACCACGACGACCACTACGATGACCACCATGCTCCACCTCTAGATGGCCGCCAGTACCACACCTCGCAGGCACCCTGTTACGCAGAGGTCTACCATCATACTCTTGTGGCTCATCTTCCTCAACACCACCATCTTGATCTTGTGTACCGAACATATCATCCTGCTGAGACTGAAGATGCTCCTCAGGCTGACAGCCACCATGCTGCTGAGACTGAACATGCTGCTCATAATTCCACATCATCTCCCGAAACGCCTCATGCTCATATAGGTTTCCCCACAGGTCGGGAGACGAGGCTGCTCTAGTATCACCACCTGAGGCCATGTTTCCCATCGTAGCATGCTGCGGTGTATGGAAGCTATCCTCTGGCTGATAGAAGCTCGAAGAAGGATCTGACTGAAACTGCTGCCGTCGCGGTGGCTGAAAGCTCGAAGATGGATCTGACTGAAACTGCTGCCGTCGCGGTGGCTGAAAGCTCGAGGAAGGATCTGACTGAAACTGCGACCGAAGGGGATTAAACTGGAAGCTCCTCGATGTAGGCCGGATGGGCTGTGCTCGCTGTCGATCTGAAACCCGAAATGGGTTAGGTGCATCACGATGCTCACGTCCCTGTCTACGTGGCCTATGCTCCTGTCTGAACTGTGGCTCTGGGACGACCCAGCCCGGTGTCGGATCAATACGTTCTGGCCAGGTAGTCATGACGGGCTCCTCATAATGGGGCTGTACAGGTACTGTGAGATCATGGTATCTACGCTGCTCAAACCCTAGAGTAGCAACCCCGGATGCCATAAGGTTGGCCAAGTCCTCACACTGGTCGGGGGTCAGCCCTCCAGCCCGTACACCGTCACGCAAACTCACCTCAGCATGCTCGATAGTGTCGTACTAAAAAACACCAACAAAATGTCAGATATTTCACACAGTTAACAACAAATTAAGCAAACAAATCAAATAACTAACCAATGCCTCCGCTGCAGCTCCTCTCCGTGTGCCGGAACGTCTGGTGACATCTCTATACCACTCCATATGCTCCGAGTGATAGGCTAACTCCTCATTAGTGTATGGAGCCGTAGCTACAAACTCGTGTCGACGTTTCTAGAAAGCAAGCGACTCTCTGGAGGCGTGTACCAATTGCTGCCCACGCGATGGCCCACGAGTAGCCTGGCGAAGAAAAAACCTAACCTCAGCCTCAGGATGTGGCGGATGAGGCTCATGCCAAACTGCCGGAGCACGCGGTCTGGATGATGCCACATCATCGATGAAAAGCAGATAAGTGGCACTACTGCTCGAAATGTCTCAGACTGTATCACACTACCTCTGAGATGAAGTGCTCTCTCAAGGTAAGGTTGCCACTACATTAAAAAAATTAACGTTATTATCCCTAAATCTAAAAAAATAAAACAAATGAAAACTATTCTATAAAATGGAATGTTATATACTAACCACCACGGTGTCCATCGCGTCAAACCACAGCTTGTACTGGAATAGCTGGTCACCATACTGACGACTGTTGGCCGAAAGCCATCGAAGACCACGTGGGGATGCATCCTCGGTGGCCTGTGCCCTCGTCTCTGAATCTCGAGATGCCAGATGTGGGAATCGCTCCCACGCCCAGAACTGCAGTAGGGCGACCCATCCACCAAGGTTACCGCTAAGAGAAGTGCCGGTATGCGTAATGTGCAAAGTCGACCTACCCATCTCACGGCACAGGTAGGATAAAACAGCAGCTCCCCAGGCGAACCGTCCAGCTCTCTGCCAATCCTCAATCAGAAGTAGGTACTGTAGGTGCACCGTACCTCCAGACCGATCCGGGAAAAGTACACCTCCAATCAGAGATAGAGCATAAGCTCGTGCAAACTGCTCTATAACCTCCTATGCTGCATTTTCCGGCAGATGATTGAATTCAACCCTCAGCCAAACAATCCTAACAACAGCGATACCGCCTACAAGATCAGCCGGAACCCGTCCTAACATTCTCAAACAGATCCCCGACCACTCCTCATCCGGTATATCAACTACGACGGCATCACCGTCGATCGCCAGACTGGATAGTGTAACAACGTCCTCTAACGTGATCGTGATCTCACCACACGGTAGATGGAAGGTCGACGTCTCGGGTCGCCACCGCTCTACGAGCGCAGTAATCAAACTCGCATCGGGGTTCATAGGGACTAGGGGCACGACACTTAACAAGCCTGCCTCTTCGAGATATGACCGATAAAGCTCATGGTAAGGTACTAAAATGGTCGTACCTCGAACATGGTAAGATCGATCACCAACCTATAGTGCACAAAACTTATATTAATTCATTTTCATTCGTAATAATTCTAATTTCACCTAATAAATTCTAATCTGTCTTATCTAATATAAAATTATACTAATTTCAAATTATACTAATTTCAAATTATACTAATTTCACCTAACAGTTCAGTTCACCAACTAAAATAATCTAATTAACTTTACATGAATAATTATCAAATACTTACCTCGTTTGTCCAAACAGAGTCGATACGATGTTGGCCATGTCCCCAAAGAAGTGTCGGATCGACCGGACTTGGATCAATTGTTGTCGGCGGTAATCTCATCGAATAAGGATCCATAAGCCTAGGAACTGCAAAAACAAAGCAACAAAACATTTAAAAAAACACAAAACATTAAAAAAAAAATCAAGCCGCCGACGAGAGTCTCACCGCGCAAACGGCCGCCGACTCCACCACGACCTCGCCGGCCTCTCCCCCTGCCTCTGCCGGCGGCGACTGGTTCTTCGTCGGAGGACATCTCGGGCGGTGGCGCTTCTGTCAACGGCGGCGGCGCTTCAGTCTCCAGCGGCGGCGCTTCAGTCTCCGGCGGCGGCGCTCCACTCGGCAGCGGCGGCGCCTGACTCTGCGGCGACGGCGCCTCAGTCCTGGGCGGCAGCGCTTGCTGCGGGCGGCTAGTAGGGCTTCTCTCTGGTTCGGGGGTGGGGGGGGGGGGGGGGGGTTGTGTGTGGTGTGGAGGAGTGAAGAAGAGGAAGGAAGAAGAAGAGGAGATAAGGTGGGAGGGGCCCGAGGTTCGGCAATTTAAAAAAAAGAAGGGTGGGGCGCGACCGCTGGAGACTCGGGCGCCAGCGCCTAGGACTGGGTCAAAAAATAAAACTGAGGCGGGGCCGCTTGAGACTGGGGCGCCAGCGCCCAGAATCGGGTAAAACAGCAGCCCCGCCTGAGTCTCTGGTGGTCCCGCCCCAAACCTTACTAAAAAAACACAATATTTGTGTCAATTCTTTTTAATCCGCAATATTTGTGGCAATTAAAAAAAACACAATATTTGTGTCATTAACCCTCATGACCTCTTCCAATAATTTCTAATGACATTGTTAACGGTTTGTGATCAATTAATACTTTACATTATAATTCTCAATGATCGTAAAACACAATACTGATTTTCAACATCTTCCACATTTGCCACATAGACCGGTAAGATTTTTCTTGGCATTTTGTTAATAAGCGTGTGACCGAAATTATTAGAAAAGCCAATAATTTATCACTGAAACAGAATTGGTCTCTGGCTGTGTGCGTGTGAGCCAGAGAGGAGTAACCGAGCAGCGGCAGTGATGTAATAGATTCAACAAACTTTGGCATCTTCCTTCCATTTCTCCCTCTCTTTTCAATTCTCCCCAAATTCACCAGAACGAGAGTTGAAATGAAGAGAGCTTTGTTTCCTCCATTTGGCACTTTCTCTAGCTCAGAATCACTCTGTTCTTTTGTTCACTGTTGAAAAACCCAGTTCTGCCTGCCAGCAGCGATCTTTGCTTCAATCAACTGTTCAAACTGAACTTTCAACGCTTCCCCTGCGACGAAAAAAGCTTGACCCATTTCTCCCTTTTATCCCCAGAAGTCTTCCTCTCGGTGGGTAGGAGGAGGATAAGCAGGCACCGCAGTAACGGGAAGAGAAGAATCGAATCAAGCAAGCCCACGACATCTGAAGTTTCTTTTCAGCTGATACAACTAAAAAGTTGAAATCTTTCCGAAGAAAAGTTTTCCCCCTTTTCCCCGAAAGGGCCCAAGTAGGGAGAGAAGAGGACCGCTTTCTTTTATCAAGCCAGGCACGCCAAGTGCTCGTGATAAAGACCCAGAGAGCCAGTTTGCGGGAGATTGGTAAAAGAAAAGGTGAAGAAGATTGATTTTTCAGAGAGTTGTTCGTTGGGTAAAGAATGACGGCTGCTGGATCGTCGGGGAGACTGCCGACTTGGAAGGAACGAGAGAACAACAAGAGGAGGGAGAGGAGGAGAAGAGCTATAGCTGCTAAGATCTACACTGGTCTTCGTTCTCAGGGCAACTTCAGGCTTCCTAAGCATTGCGACAACAACGAGGTTTTGAAAGCCCTTTGTGCTGAGGCTGGCTGGATCGTTGAAGAAGATGGCACCACTTACCGCAAGGTTTAGCCTTTTATGCTCCTCCCCGTTCCCATTTTAATTGGTTTTCCATTCATTGATTTCAATCTTTGACAGCTTCTCGGGTTCATTCAGCTGCTTGATTTCTGAACTACTTTTCCAGTGATTACTCGTTCTAGTTCTCCTCAACCTAATGCTTAGTCTTGATTAGTTCATAGAGGGTTGTGCTATGGAAAGACATCATGTTTTCAGCTTTCTTGTATCTCCTGATGTTCGACTCAGTTTAGTCTGTGCCAGAACAATATGGTTTTCACCATTCAATGCCATTACTCGGGTTTCTCTGCAATCAAATTGAGCTGAAAGAAACTTCAATCTCCATATCCCAATTGGCTTATTTGTGTTGTGATTGGCTTTTCACTGTCGCAGGGCACCAAGCCGCCGCCTTGTGATGTATCTGGCACTCCACCAAACTTCAGTGCAGGTTCCTCAATGCAGCTTAGCCCACAGTCATCCAATTTCCAAAGTCCCATCCCTTCCTACCACGCCAGTCCAACCTCATCTTCATTCCCGAGCCCTTCACGTTTTGAAGGAAATCCATCTGCCTACCTTGTTCCACTACTCCGGAACATAGCTTCCATACCCACAAACTTGCCGCCGCCACTTCGAATATCCAACAGCGCTCCAGTAACCCCGCCTCTCTCTTCCCCCACCAGGAGTTCAAAGCCAAAGCCACCTGATTGGGAGGCACTTGCAAACGGTTCGCTCATGAATTCCTTCAGGCATCCCATCTTTGCTGCCTCTGCACCTTCTAGTCCCACTCGACGCCACTACCTTGCACCCGTGGCTATCCCTGAGTGTGATGAGTCTGATGTCTCCCCAGTGGATTCTGGCCGTTGGTTGTGCTTCCAAGGAGTTTCTAGTTCCTCTCACGTTGCTCCTCCTTCGCCGACTTTTCACCTCATTAAACCGGTTGCAATAGCTAAGGGGAATGACGGAGCTGATAATGGTCTTAATTGGGGGAACATAACAGCCGAAAGAGGGAGGGGAGGGTCGGAGTTTGAGTTTGGGAATGGAAAGGTGAAGCCTTGGGAAGGCGAGCGGATCCATGAAATGGGCGTGGAGGATCTCGAGCTCACGTTGGCAAGTGGGAAAAGCGGGAAGCTAGGCTATGGTGGATCATCATCCAGGCCAAGCTAAGTAGTGTGCAGTTTCGCTATGTTGATTACTTCAACTGCAGGAGGGGCTAGCAGCTGGTGAAGTGGATATTATGGTTTCATGTTCCACCCTTTCCTTTCAGATTGTACACTTTCACCCCGCTAAAGCCCATAGATATCAACTGATGAAGTTTGGTAGATCCATTGTCCTCCTGACGACCATTTGCTTCCCCCGAGTTTGCAAAGGGGACGAGGCTTCGAGATCAAGGTGATACGGGGGAGGTTGTATACTCTCTCGACTATGTTTATGGCGTAGAGTACTACTATTTTTTTCCGCAAATGCTTATGTATGTCTTGCGTTTACACCTGTGGATGGTTTTGTTCTTCGTTTCCTCTGCTAACTATCTTACTTGCCTACCATGCGCACGTCAAAGGGTGTTCATTGCAATGTTTTCAGCTCGAGATTGATGAATCGGTTAAGGCTTCTTCTTTGTCCATTACGTCTCATACTAGAGTTTTGCTGAAACGGGTTGTTGGCTTTTGGCTGTTGAGCTGCCAGCCAGGTCTACTGCTCAGCAAATGTGTATAAGCCTGTAAGGTGGTTGTGGGTTTTCTGTTTGTTTGCGGGGTTTCTGTTGGTCAAAAGAGCATCTTGAAACACAAACTCCAGGAAGGGACCATTTCCCACCTGAAGTGGTCTTGTTTTGGGGGCAAGAGACCTGACATGACAAGCTTGATGTTGTAAAATGTAAATGTACCAAACCTTTTTCTTCTTCTACTGTTGGGATAATTTGTCCAACTCTCAATTATTAGTGACGAGGAAAAAATCCCAATATACACAAATAATTAAAAAAAATTCTCAAAATATATAAGTTATAATTTTTTTTTTTCAATCTACACATGTTTCACATTCACCGTCTTTGTCTAAGACAGTGAATGGAATCACCGTGTTAGACAAACACGGTGGACAAGTCATCGCGTTTAACGAAGAAGATGAAGAAATCACCCTGTTTTTTAACAACTGTGAATTGATCACCGTTTTTGTGCAAAACGTGGAACACCTTCACCGCTGTAGTTTATGGGCGGTGATAGTTGCCCACGTTTCCCACCCCTGGTAGGTGAGAGTTAGGTCACAACCACCTAACGTTCACCGCCTTAGGGCAAGACTGTGATTGTCTTCGCCATTGCTGACAAACGCGGTGAATGATGGCCGAGTTTCATATAAATACCCCCCACGAGCAGTTGGAAAAACGTAACCCCCTCCCTCTTCAAATTTCAGCAAAAAAGCGAGCAAAATATACAAAAGCTATTTTCCCTATGATTTAATTTTGTATTGTTATATAATGTTGTTTTTAGTAGTTATATTTATGTAATGAATTACTTATCGTAGCAAATATGTTATGTTAGTTGGGAATTTATGTTGTTGTTAGTTATGAGATGGAGTAATATTAGAGCTGTCAAAATGTAACCCGACCCGAGTAACCAGCCCCATCAACCCGACCCGCAACCCTCGCCCGCAACCCGATTTGACTAAAAGTCAATGACCCGTAACCCGCCCGACCCGCAACTCGACCAACCAGCAACCCGATCGACCCGCAACCCGATCAACCCGCAACCCGACTAAGCCGAACCCGTAACCCGACCAACCCGCAGCCATACTATAATAGAAGGAATTCGATGAAGATAAACCAAAAGTTGACATTTGAAATTCTAGTTCACTAAAGTCTGATCATTACATCATCAATTATTGACTTAGTATAATAATATACATCATCAACCTATTAACGCATATAATACCATCAAATATTTATTTAGATACATCACCAACCTAATAGTGCACATAACATTATAAAATATTAATTTAGCATATTAAGATAATTATAAGATTTAAAATCCAAATATCATGGTCGTATCATAAAAAAGACTAATAATAGTTCACAAAAGTCTGATCATAACAAGAATACATGACTCATAATAGTTCATATTGCACTACAGGAAAACAAGTTTCTAAACACGGTATCTTATTCATGGTAATTTTTCCCGTATTAGAAAGTACATTAATAACCACGGGAAAATTTCATATATTTAGTTGTATGTTTCTAATCACGGGGAATTATTTATCAGTTTTATAGTCTTCATTTCACGTGATTAATACTTAGTCACGGTAATTCGTGTGAACTTTTAAGAATTTTTTTTATAAATTATTTCTTTCAATTTTATGAGGGATAAATTCTTTTTGCTTAAGATGTATTTTGGTTCCAAAATTTTCATTTTTGGTAGAATTGGCTCCAAATTTTCATTTGCTCCAGCGGCAACGTAACCGTCTCTTTTCTTAAATATGGGCAGCCAAACGCAAAAGAGACTTTGATTCCAAATATTCTTTGGTATTTGGCTCCAAAATTTTCATTTTTGGTAGAATTGGCTCCAAGTTTTTATTTGCTCCAGCGGCAAAGTAGCTGTCTCTTTTCAAAAAATTTGGCCACAAAGCGCAAAAAAGGAAAAACCTTAGCTCTCAAAAATTTTGGCCCGCAAGCCTCCAAATTCCAAACACACACACTCTCTCTCTCTCTCTCTCTCTCTCTCTCTCTCTCTCTCTCTCTCTCTCTCTCTCTCCCTGTACCTATCCTCAACTCAGCATGATGATTTGATTGGTCTTGAAGATTTGAGAGTTTATTGGTATTTAACCTAGTTTAGAAATCTTGTATCAACATGAAAATTTGGATAATTCTAGATGATTTCAATTTGGCTGGTGTTCATGCTACAAGAAAGATTATTTTCAATTGTGTTGATATTTGTTTTATTGACACTAATCTTATAACTTTGAGTAGTGATTCCTCTTTTTTTTTTTTACAAGTATTGTGCTAGCTTCATATAGTTACGATTTACGACTTACTAGTAATCACTAAAAACTAACGCGATGTTCTGGTCCGTAAAACCCGCAATCCAAACCGCCCGACCCGCAACCTGATTAACCCGCACCCGATTGGCCCGCAGCCCGATTGGCCCGCATCCCGATTGATCCGTAACCCGATTGACCCGCAACCCGAGTGACCCGCACCCCGGGTGACAAACTCTGACATTTGGATTGATTATGAGGACGGTGAATCCACTATGTTGAAAATTGAGTCGCGATTCACGTGGCAAGAACTCTGTGACATTTGCGCTGATAGGGTTTGTACGAGCGGACATACGAGAGTTAGTAAAATTACTTATCGGTATCCAGACATGAGTGTCGCGGGGTTGTGTACCAAGAAGTTGTCATAAACGATGATGACGCGGTTACGATGATGTTACAGTTCCTAGGCGATAACAGGATGCGACTTGAAGAGGTCTATGTTGAGACTGAGGTGGTCTTTTCCCTGATTGCGTCCCAGTCACCAAGGAGCATTGGCAACCATATGCCTTGAATCCACCGGTTCGACTTGTCGGGAAATAGAAATCCACCGACCAAACCAATGAGGTAGATGCGTGCATAGCGCTCCACTTGATCTTCCGGAGTCTCTGGGCCGATTTCAACCTCATTTTGGATGTGAGTAACAAGCCACGGGATCAACACTTGTCCCGCATTCAATGGTTGATGCTCCCGTCCTTGAATTGGTCTGGTGGTCGGCATGTCAAAGCCCAAACGATCACGAATGAGTGGACCCCAACCTGCATCGGGTTTGGTAGTGGTACCAATGATGGCATCTCTAGTTATCGGCAGCCCGGTGAGGATCGCGACGTCTTTGAGGGCGATCGTCATTTCCCCCTCCGGAAGGTGGAACGTATGGGTTTCGGTGCGCCATCGCTCTGCCATTGTCGTAAGCAGATCGTTGTCGATTACAATCCGCATGAAATGCCTCAACATACCCAACACAGTTCTCCCTATATACGGCGACAGTTGATCATGCCAAGCGGGCAAGTTAGTGGTCCCTTTATGAATGACGGGAATAAGTGATTCCTACAAAAAATAGAAAAAAACATTGATTTGTTAGTTAAAAGAAATCAAAATAAAACCTTACTAAATTATGAAATAAAGTAAATTGTTGATAAGGTACGTGGTGTTTACCGGATTGTTGTCCCAAATTGCACGGGAGTGATGTGCTTCTTGATCAGTTAAATACTTCGTATCTCATAATGGATATGCAATCGAGGATCGTATATCTCGGCACCCATCTATAAATAAAAGTAATGAAATCAGATTGTTTTTATTAAAAAAATCACAAAATCAAATTGAAAAGATTAAAAAAATCACAAAAGAAAAACCAAAAAGCTACCCGAAGAGCCTCTTCGTCCATTTTTTTTGGCGAAAGCCGGACAGAAGCTTTGGGGTATATAACTCTAGTAATTATTTCTGATATGGAAGATCGGATTTAGCTGCAATCACAGAGTATACTTAGAACGAGACTAGAGAGGATGAATGGAGGGAGAAAGAAGTGTAATGTGGTGGTGTGATTTGGAAGACGGGGGGAAGGGTTCAATTTATAGGGGGGGGGATCTGCCGAAAATCAATGAAGAAAAATCACCGCATTCGACAAACGTGTTGAATAAACCACCTTTTTGGAAAACGGTGAATGGCGAGAATCGATAACGTGAGAGCCTGTGAAACGTCGGATCTACTTAATACATCAGGATTCGAACTCGCAGATCTGGCAAGAGGAACTAATGTCCCACGATTGAGTTGTTGCCCATTCTCTGTCCATGTTGGCACGCTACTCTATTTTAATTTGTCTATAGTAATATTTCCTACCATAAAGTGATTTATACACAATTTCTAAAATTCTCAGGGACCGGAACCCCCCAAACCGTGTTGTAGCTCTACACTTGAGTTGGTCAAATTGAAAAATGATTTACCATTTATTAGATAAACACACAATATCAATATCATGAATTTTTCTATCGAGTTGGCTAATTAATACTGTTTATTAGGGTTGATAATTGGTTAGTCCATTCCCATTTTAACTGGTTTTCAAAATTTAACCAGCAGTTACAGGTTAAACCGTTATAAGGTGGTAATATTGATATGCGATAATAAAAATCTAGCTATCGATATACTGACTTGTACCCAATTAGTAATCGGTGGTTAATTACTCGGTATATCGAATAACCAACCACCAGCCCGTATCTAGGGGTGGGTATTGGTTTGACCAAACCGCTCCAAATCACCCCAAACCGCTTATGCGGTCAATCCAAACCGCATCATTAAACTAACGGTTTCATTTGCGGTCTGATCGTTAAGCGCTTGGCGGTTCACGGTTTGGATTGACCCAAACCGCGCGGTTACGGTTTGAAACCACAATTCGCTAAGATCGAGTACGCAGAAGTTGAAACCACAATCCGCTAAGATCGAGTACGCCTCTTCTCAACACACGACAACAACTTTCCTCTCGGCGACGACACCATCTTCTTTCCGGCGGCACCATCTTCTCTCCACGGCGCCATCTTCTCTCCGGCAGGCGGCAACACCAGATCTTACCATTCTCTCGTTCCGCCACCTCTCCACGGCGCCATCTTCCCCAGCTTTGGCGGACTGTCAAAATACACCAAGAGGCGGGAGATTTCTAGGATCGAAGGCATCTCGATCTTTCCCATTCTCGGAGCTCCGGTGCTTTGGCCTACTGTCAAAAACACCTGTACCGGCGAGATCAGGTATGCTTTTCTCCTTTGGTTCTATATTTGAAGTTACGGATCTAGGGCAGTTCTGTGTAAAGCTGCATCCAGTTGAAACCCACCCCCAACAAAATTCGATTACTGATCAACCTTTGGATTGTTTGGAAGTGGGTGATTCATGGTTGATAGTGAATAGTGTGATTTCCTCGAAACCCATATAGTCATGGTTTTCGTTCCCAATTCGTTGGAGACTTGGAGATACAACTTACAAGGGATCCGATTACAACTTACAATAGAAATTGGGGATTAGGCTAACTCCAACCCATAAAGGGGAATTTAGCTCCCCAAATGGCCAAATATGGCTTTTTAGCTCCCCAAACCCACTTTTCACTCCAACCCTAGAAAAAAACTAAATTTAGCTTCCCATTTTCCTTTTTCAATTTATTTCAATAAACCATACTTATTTGACCTCTAATTTTTATATTTCACTTTAATTTTTTCATAGCTCGTTATTAGTTTTGAATACAAATTTTTCGATGTAATTATTTCAATAAACCATACTTATTTGACCTCTAATTTTTATATTTCACTTTAATTTTTTCATAGCTCGTTATTAGTTTTGAATACAAATTTTTCGATGTAATTTTTTTAAAATTCCGAGATATTTTTTTTTTCAAAAATTAGTCATTAAAATATTACCGTTAAAACTTCGGGACCACTCCAAATATGACCTTTTTTTGTATCCGTTACTTTACGACCGTTTTTTTGTCATTTTTTGCACCAAATGTCTTTATAAATGACAGTTCTTCATTTTCATCAACTCAACTAAAACTTCTTCCCATTTATAAAACAAACACATTCATCATGAGTATCTCAGATAGCTCATCGTCTGGAGAAGAAGAAAACGAAGAGTACGAAAGGTTTCACCACCTACGTTTGAGTTTGATCGGTCGGAGGCTTGCTGAAGGTGCATCAAGTCGCCGTCAAACTACAAGCCGACGTCACATTGATCGTGAGAGGGTCGAATGTAATCGACGTCTTATGAGGGATTACTTCGATCCAAATCCAGTATACAATGCTTGCATATTCAGAAGGTGCTATCGGATGCAGCCAAGATTATTCCATCGCATTATGGGCGACATTGTGAGATTTGACCCCTCATTTGCTCTAAGGCGTGATAGCTTTGGTCAATTGTCACTATCTCCAGAGCAGAAGCTTACTGGTGCGATGTGCATGCTAGCATATGTTTCTCCAGCTGATCAACTTGATGAGTATGTTCGTATGGGTGAGAGCACCTTGATGGAGGTCTTCAGAAAGTTTTGCAACAACATTATCAACATGTACGGGGCCACATACCTTCGCGCACCTACTCCTGCTGATTTAAGGATCTTACTCCGTAAAGCCTCAAGTCGTGGCTTTCCTGGAATGATTGGATCAATTGACTGCATGCATTGGGAATGGAGGAATTGTCCAAGTGGTTGGGCAGGACAATACACCGGCCACATGCATAGGCCAACAATCATTCTGGAGGCGGTGGCCTCCTACAACACATGGATATGGCATGCTTTCTTTGGCACACCTGGATCGAACAACGATATAAATGTTATGGGGATGTCTCCAGTGTTTGATCGTATCGTCAATGGAAGCGCTCCACATGTACGATTTGAGGTAAATGGTCATGCTTATGATCAATGTTATTATTTGGCTGACGGTATTTATCCCTCATGGTCGACTTTAGTGAAGACCTTCAGCAATCCAAGGTCAAACAAAGAGGCTTTGTTTGCTCAACATCAAGAAGCACACCGCAAAGATGTAGAGCGGGCATTTGGAATCCTCCAAACAAGATGGGCAACTGTTTGTGGCCCTGCAAGAGCTTGGGATGTTGTCACACTTAACAATATAATGCTGACGTGCATTATATTACACAAGATGATAATCGAGGATGAGCAGGTTGATTCTGATGACGAGATGGATGATGACCTTGATTATGAGGTCCATGCACAACCTGAACCAATCAACCGACACCAATCAACTCTAATTGATTACTTGGCTAGAAATAACAGGCTTCGCTCATCTACAACACATCATGCGCTTAGAAATGACTTGGTTGAGCATCTTTGGAATTTGCACGGCAATATCTAGCATTGTTTTACTTCATGTTGCTTGGTTGTTTGTATTTCAAGTTTCAGTGTGTGATTGTATTTCATGCTGCTTGTATTTCAAGTTTCAGTGTGTGATTGTATTTCATGTTGCTTGGTTGTTTGTATTTCAAACTTTCAATAACACTTGTTTTTATTACACATGGAATTGCTCAAAGTTCAAAGAGTACACATGACACATGAAAATAACAAAGTTGAAAGAGAACACACAACACATCAAAGATGTAAAGACAATAGAGTACAAATAGGATCTTCTTCTAATTAATAATCCATGACAGGAAAGTAATCGCCATCTCCTCCACCACTTTCATCGCCATCTCCTCCACCACTTGCATCGCCATCTCCATCTCCGCCATCACTTGGATAAGAGTTGGGATCATCTTGATCGTACCCATAAATGTCATTTTGTTTACGCCTCCAAAATCTCTTCTTTCTTGGTGTCATCTTTGACAAATCCTTATCTAGAATAGCTACATTTTGTTGAAGTATTGCAGCTTCCCTCTCTTTCTTCTCCACAACCCACTTTTCCGCTTCACGCTCCCTTACTTGCCTCTTGTATGCCCATTCCTCTTTCTCCTGCTCTAGTCTCCTCTCTTGAACATTCATTTTTCTGTTTTCATACTCCATCCTCGACTTTTGCCTCTCTCTCATATCATTACCAAACTCTAGCAGTTGACTAGTGTATATGTCTGACGATTCAGCAACTACCTTACCTTTCTTCTTTGCTGCCTTTTGTTTGTCGCGTCCTTCAGGGCGAGTCAACACGAAAGGCGTAGCTCCTTCATCTGGTAAGTCATCAAGGCCTTCCACGGGAGATGATTGAGAACCAAAACCTGTGGGAGAACTTTGGGAACCTTGCCCCATAGGTGGAATGGGACTAACAAGCAGGTCAGGATTGGAGTACCACTTTGGACAATTTCGGAGAATGTCGAAACAATGCTCAAAATCAAAAGCCTTGTTCCCATTCTCTTGCTTATATATTGCTCTTGCCTCCTTTTCCTAATAAAATATGTAATACATGGGTTAGAGAAGTTTATATTGACACATATAAAAATAAGAAAATACACAAGTTGAGGGTCCAAAAGAATACCACATCAAACTGGTTCGTGCCACTCGATTGATGCCTTTGTGCTCTTTGCAAAACTCCCTTCCAAGCATTGCAGTGATAGCAAATAATCCTCATTCGGGATTCCATTGCAATAGCAGTACGAATTGTAGTAGGATCCCATTTTTGATGTTCTGCCGCCACTCTTTCCCACAACCTTGTAGACTTCTGGTTGGTGCCAACCGCTCCATCTTCTGATATCGACACCCAAGCTCTGCACAAGATTTCATCTTCATTCAGAAGCCAATTAGGTTCTCTCTTGCCTGTCATATTTCTATTTTGAGAAACGATAACAATTGAATTTTGAGAGAATGCGATTTATGCTCTGAGAATGAGTGAAGAGAAATCTATGAAGAGTGCTGTAATTTATAAGAAAAAATATGGCCGTTAAAATATGACCGTTTTTTCGTCACTACATCAATTATTTCAAATTTATATTTCAAATTGAATCACAAACCACCAATGAGAATAGAGAAAAAAAAATCCATAACAAATTGGCAAAACAAATTCCCAACCAACAAAAGTTAAAAGAAGAAAAAAAAACATTATAGCACGTCAGCTGCGAAGAAGGGCGCCGGACGCGCGTCCGGCGCCCTTCTCCGCCAGCTGACAAGCTCCCCACTTTTTGGCAGCCAAATATCACTCCCCACCCCAAAACCCAGCCATATTTCCCTTCCAAAAACCCAATACCCATTTTTTGCTTCCCATTTTTTTGTGGGTTGGAGGAAGAAAAAAAGCCAAATATGACTTTATAGCATTTTGACACCATGGGTTGGAACTAGTCTTATATAGTAAAATATGAGGACAATGTTTTAAAGCGATAAGAGGAATCCTCACATTCAAAGACTTAATGGTAGTACCCAACACCTGAAATTGCCCAATCTTAAATCACAGGTAAGCAAAAACATGGTAAGTTTTGGAATCTACTGCTATAAGCCTTAGAGCAGCGATGAGCGCTGCAAAGGACATGAACCCGAAAAAGGACACATTGAGCCAGTGCCAGAGCTTTTGGAAGGAGCTCAATTTGCTCCTCTTTGCTACTAGGTACATGTGGTTTGCCAGAATGAATGTTAGGGGGAAGGTGCTGATAGCTTGTATCAGCCATCGTTTTATTCCCTTCAATAGTTTAGGTACAGAATGTGACTATAGTGAACTTGTGGAGTTACTGCAAGTGGGAGAGCATCAGAGCAATGTATATTTAGATTAGTGTTAATGACATTTCAATGTTCTAACTGTTTTATTTCATATGCTTGCAGGGCAAAATGAAATCAAAAGGCTCGAAGGGAAAACGAGCTCAAGCACCGATATCTAGCAGCAATGTGCTTAATGTCAGTGAGGTGAGTTTCCCTTACAGGCTGTAAGTATTCATTTTTTGGCTATGATTGTGGGTTTGTGAGGATTATCGGCAATGCTAAGCTTGGCAACCATGTTGTACTCAATGGTGTGATGGACGCAAATGGAATGCGAGGGGTTGTTCATCATTCTGCATTTTCTTAGTTATTGGATATGAGTTGTCGAGGCAAGTAGTTGGCTGCAGGGATTTTTGGGCCCCTGTACATATCCTATCTGAGGATTGTTTGGTTGAGCCCTTGAGCTGGGTCTAAATTAGGAAGATAGTTATGCTCTGCTGCAGTTGAAAGAAGCCTCAGATAGCAGAATTGATAGGTTTGGCAGAGTGGGCCATTTCAGCTTGTACATGGATGTCTTTGTCAACAATCATAGAAAAAGATAAGTTATTGGTGACGCAATCATTGGCCATTGCATATGAAAAAGGACTCATGGTCATGGCATAACCAATTCCAGCTAAGAATTTGTTTTCAATAATGAGTTTCTGATTTATCTTTGGATGGCTTTCATTGAATTTGTTGCTATGATAGAGGTGTTTGATGGCAGTGGACAGTGGTCCTTTTAAGTTTTATCATAACTATCTTCTTCACTTTTTTCATTGGTGCGTATGATAGGGGTGGGCATCGATCATGTTCTCTTTCACTACAAATCAATGGCAAGAGGCGGCGAAGCATCAAGCATTAATCTTCAATAGCCTGAGTAGATCTTACATGCTGGATTTTGGGATGAGCGAGAATGGGACGAGCTCGTCATCGACGAAGCTGGTTTGGAAGACATCCTCTGACTACGTGGTGGTAATTGCGAGGGCGGGACGAGGTTAAGGCGCTGAGAGAAAGAGGTGCAGCACATGATGAATATGAATTGTTATTCATAATAATGGACACTTCCTTGCCAAAAAAGGGCAAAAGTGACAATAACTCAACTGACCAAATTGTGCGACACCACTCTCTCTGCTATAAATACCAATCAATCATCAACCGCTACAAAGCACACCTCCAATATTGCCCACCAATTCACCTTACAAATATAATAAATAGAAACATGCAAGCCGCCGGCGACAGGCCTCACGCCGCTCTTCTGGCGAGCCCCGGGATGGGCCACCTCATCCCCGTCCTGGAGCTCGGGAAACGCCTCGTCACCCACCACGACATCCACGTCACCATCTTCGTCGTCGCCACCGACGCCGCCACCACCGACTCCCTCCTCAAATCCTGCCCCGCAACCATCACCAACCTCTCCATCGTCCCCCTCCCGGCCGTCGACGTCTCCAGCCACGTCGAGCCCTCCGACCACATCGTCACCAAGCTCCTCGCCATGATGCGCCACTCCATCCCCAACCTCCGCTCCGCAATCTCCGCCATGCCCACCCCGCCCACCGCCCTCGTCGTCGACATCTTCGGCACCGGAACTTTCCCCCTCGCCGACGAGCTCGGCATGCTCAAGTACGCATTCGACACCACCACCGCCTGGTTCCTCGCCACCGCCGTCTACGGCTCCTCCGCCGAGGACGCGGTGGCGCGCCACATCGGCTCGAAAACCCCGCTCGAGGTACCCGGGTGCAGACCGGTCCGGTTCGACGACACGCTCGACTCGTACCACGTGATCGGGGACCGGGTCTACCACGACTTCCAGCGCGTCGGGGTCGAGTTCACGACGGCCGACGGCATCCTGGTGAACACGTGGGAAGAAATGGAAGGGAAGACCCTCGACGCGCTCCGGGACCGGAAGGCCATGAAAAACATGGTCAAGGCCCCGGTCTATCCGGTCGGACCGCTGGTCCGACCGTCGCCTCCGCTCGAGACCACCGAGCCAAACGACGCCGTGCTGTGGCTCGACGAGCAGCCCGACCGGTCCGTCATCTACGTGTCGTTCGGGAGCGGCGGGACCCTCCCGCTTGCCCAGCTGGTCGAGCTGGCGTGGGGGCTCGAGCTCAGCGGGCAGCGGTTCGTGTGGGTGGTCCGCCCTCCTCCAGTCGAGGATGATGACGTTTCCGCCACTTTCTTCTCCCTGGGAAACGGATCCCAGAGAGGATCCCACCACGGGTACCTCCCCGAGGGATTCCTGTCCCGCACTCGGGACAGGGGACTCGTGGTGCCCATGTGGGCCCCGCAGGCAGAGATTCTGGCTCACTCTGCGGTGGGCGGGTTCCTGTCGCACTGCGGATGGAACTCGACACTGGAGAGCATCACGAACGGGGTGCCGATGGTGGCGTGGCCGCTGTACGCGGAGCAGAAGCTGAACGCCGCCCTGCTGACGGATGAGCTCCAGGTGGCGGTGCGGCCGGAGAGCGACACCGCCGGCAGCATGGTGAAGAGGGAGGAGATCGAGAAGTTGGTGAGGAGGGTGATGGTGGCGGAGGAGGAAGAAGGGAAGGCGATCAGGGAGAGGGTGGCGGGGTTGAAGGAGAGCGGCGAGTGGGCGTTGAGCCGGAAGTTGAAGGGCTCGTCGTACAGCGCGCTGGCGCAGGTGGCTAGGGAACTCGAGTTGAACCACCAGCGGCTCGTCGCTAAAGCTCAAGGCGGCGGAAGGTGGGACCCAGAGAATTTGCGCGACACGTACCGACGTGCAAGAATGTGGGAGTGCTTGCCTCTATCTTTTTTCTGGTCGAACCTTGTCTTTTCCCTAAGAGGGAGAGAAAAGAATATATGATGATATATATTTTCAGACGGTTCTAGCTATGAATCAATCGATGATTGTTATTGTGAGAGAGAAATATTATATACTATATTACTATATGTACGTACTGTAGATCCGTATTACGTGGGAGTATGATTTTGGTTTGGTTTGGTTTGGTTTGGTTTATACAAGTGAAAGATTGTCTGGAGATTAATTACTATGGTATTATATGTATGCTTGTCTCGTTAGCCTTATCATTTGGTTATATATATAAATATGTAACACACAGGCAATTGTGCTCGATCGGCTCAGTTGTGCTTTCTCCAACAAAACATCTCCTTTCACGTTAAAATACCTAATGTCAACTTTTTAAAGTATTTTTTTTTTCTCATCAATGACATTTGATTCTTATTCATGTAATATTATGGTTATTCACGTAAATGGAAAATCAGATTTTTTCCCATTAATAATTGTATTGACTATAATTTATGGAATTAAATTTGGATTCTCAATAAATTTGTAAAAATGTGTTGCATTAATCATAATATACACAATAACATCCATTTTGATATATTTCAATGTATAAAATTTCATTTTACAAAGGTGTGAATAAACATCAGGTTACGCGACCTAACAGTATTGGTTGCGTGAATAATCAACACTCGATGTTATGTAACTAACACAAATATAGCATGAATGATATAAATATGACATAAATAAATAAATGAATTAGGTGTTTTGTCACCCTAGGAAAGGAAAGTTGCGGGAAGAGATAGTAGTTAAAAGTTCTGTGTTCCTTTTTGTTAATAGGTAAAAGGGTAACCATAAAAGAATATGTAAAAGGGTGAATTTGAGCCTGCAAATTTTCTTTGTATATTAAAGAAATAATAAAAGTTAAATATCATTGAAACATCTGAAGAGAAACTTTACGATGCTTGATATCGGTGTTTTGTGTTTTGATTAAAAAAAAATATTTAAGATACAAATTGAACTTTTTCATTTAATGCTATAGTATAAATTCAATTTGTATTTACACTATTTGTAAAAAATAAATTTGGTCCAAACGGCAGGTGTAGATTTAAAGTTATGGTAAAATTCAACTTGTACCTATGTATTTTTGTATATAAAAAAAAGTTACGCTACAAACTGAATTTGTACATTTATTTTATGGTACAAATTGAACTTGTATCATAACATAAAAAGATACAAATTTTTATACGATACAAATTGACTGTATAATTTTTTATGTTATAGCACAAATTCAACTTATACAATTCGAAACACCAATACTTTTAATAACTCAAAATCCAAATTATTAAAAATATATCACTTTTATAAGGAACACCAATTGCACGTTCATAACCCTAGCTAACAGTAATGTTGGCCATCAATAGCACGTTCATTGCCGGCTTGGCTTGCTTCGTTCATCTAATTTGCTAAGCAATTAAAGTCGCTATATTTCATGCTTTTTTATTTCGTTATAAGGAGCAAGAATAAGTTGCCGCCCCGTTGTCTAAAACGTGGCTGGCATTTTGTCGACGCAAAATCGATGCAGTCCTCCTCTTATTCTTGTAGGCTGGGGGCAAAGGATTTCTTGTGTACTGGCCATTGAGGCTACTCGATTATATCAGTCAACGTGAATGTTCTTTGTCTGGACCAATAATGAGTTAGGCTACTCGATAATATCGATTCGTCTCTCTATTTCCAACTTCTATTTAGATTTTAAGGGTAATAACTAATGATCAGTTTACACGGTTAGGTATGCGAAAAATCGGTTGGTCCAAATAATTTGAGTAGTTGATAAATGTTCGATTATAGATTATATGTCATTTATGAAAGTCAACTGGTGGGATTATTGGGATTCGAACCAGCGGCGGATCTAGGGGGCGCCTCCGGGCCATGGTCTTGCCCTCCTCTGGATCAAAGCTAGTATAGCACTTGTAAATTTTTTATTTTCGGTTTTCGTTTAAGAGAGCTACTGCCCAGCCCACTCTACCTCTTTTCAAACCGTGACCCAGTGCTCTACCCAGTCCTGGATCCGTTGTTGATTCGAACATGAGACATCCCGGTCACAGAAGGCTCTGATACCATGTCAGGAACCAATTGATCCTAATAGCTTGAATTGTTGAAAGAGGTCCGATTATGGACCATATACCGTTTACTAACACATCCCTTCAATAACTCGAGTTGTGCGGTTATGTAATTTCCCAACTGTTCTGGTGCATTTACTGTTATTTCTTCTGTGAACGTAGTAGCTAAATAATCCCAACGTGTTACATAAGGCAACTATTGTATAATTGTTCGGGTTTCCCGAATTTTTTTCCATCCCTCTGTATAAATAACCTAATATAAGTTCACAGTCAATAACATATTCTTCACCGTCTATAGCCCTCAATCCTCGGAATCTTGGCTCTTCCTTGCTTACATGGGTAGTAAATTTGCAGGAATTTATTTCTCAAAATATATAATATTATTACCACGGTAAATGTTCAAAAAATTTTAACATAAAAAATTGAAAAACATCAAGTATGATTATTATCTAATGGTTCATAATTTAAGATTGTGCACCGAAGCCATAACATTAGACACCATAGTTCATAGTTGTATGCACGCAAACTATATCATTGAGGCACAAGCACTGTTGAATTTAATTTATTCCTTCGTGTGAGGTTTCTAGAATTGTTATAAATAAATAAAAAAGTGTGAGGTTTCTAGAAGCTTAACTGCCATATGGAACTAAATAGGGATGGGATTAGGTGCTAACCCTTATAGGGGTTAGCACCGTGATAACTAGCAAAAAACGCTATTAAAAATAACGAAATCACTACGGATTATTATAAAATCAATACAACATCTAAGCTAAATCACTACTAATTCAAACTAGTAGTAGTTTTTCCGTTGATTAGGATGGTGCTAACTATTGTACAATTAGCACCGTAACTCCTCCCAACTAAATAGGGTGAGATATGAGCATGTGATGAGGTAGCTAGGTTTAATGTGAGGCTGTATGTCATTGGATTTATAAACAAATAAAAAAACAGCGACCTTTTGTAATATCGTAAGAATTGATGCTACATAATTAACTATAGTCTTCTTATATTAAGCATAACTAGCTAGTGATATATAGAATACTGAGTGATGTAACTCCGCCAGCACAACCAAATTGATTATTATGTATTTAATATATGGAATAGCATAGTGATCAGCATCATTACAAGAAACCCTATTTATAGTGACTAACAAAATTTGTCTCTACACAGATCACTTATTTGTCTCTATATATAGTGACAAATACTATTTATATGTTTGAAGGCTAATTTAGCCGCTAATGTTACTCTTTTTTGTTTCATATATCCACTATTAAAGGCATGAATGTTTTCCTAAAAAAATAGTTATTATAGAGACAATAAAGAGATATATTTGTGAATTTTAATTTTAGCGGTTATTACATTTGTCTCAATACATACTATTAAATATAATAGTATTATATATGCCCTGTGAAGTTATCTTTTAAACACAAATACTTTTTTTTAAGAGTGATATAGGTTTGTCTATATTGTGTTGTTGAAATATAGTGTATTATTTTGGAAAATAGATTGTGATATGAAGTACAATGTATTCTTTTGTATAAGAGTGATATAGCCGTAGGGCTGCACATGAGCCGAGCTGCTCGTGAGCGGCTCGGCGTTCGACTCGAGAAAAACTCGTTCGAAACTCCACTCGTTAATAAACGAGCCGAACACGAGCTCACCTTTGTTCAGCTCGTGAAGCTCGCGAGCTAGCTCGACTCGGTGGCTTGTTGAGCTAAACTCGTGAGCTGGCTCGTTTAGAGCTCATGATATGTCTTAACATGTGGCTAGAGAGCCAACTCGATTATCAACTTATGGACGAATCAATCTATATCTTATGATTTAATTCATATGGTTGTTAAATTATATATCTCACCATATATAAAGTTTAACACGTTGAGTATGTGAGCAAATATATCTTATTTTCTACTTTAAAAAGAAATTATGCATCATAGATTGTTTCGATACTATGAAATAACATGATTTGGAGTAGTTAAAATTTATTAACTAAATGATATATGATACCAACAAAATATAATATGAGATTAGCTCACAAAATAAATCATTTGTATCATGATATACAAAATGAAGTACCAAATAAAAGTTAAGATTTTAATAAACAAGCTAGCTCGAACTCGACTCGTTAATAAACGAGCTGAGCTCGAGTTCGACTCGTTTATTAACGAGCCGAGCTCAAGCTGGGGTAAAACTCGACTCGACTCGGCTCATTTGCAGCTCTATATTGTTAACTGCGCTATTTAAGATATTTAAATTTGGAACCTCCAATTTTTATACTAAAGGTAATATCACTAAATCATTCCCTTGTGTTCTTGATCCAAAAGGCCAATTGTCATAATACAAATTTAAGAAAAGTACAATAATAAACCAAAGGCCAAAAAAAAAATCATAAGAATCGAAGTTCGGTTGCGTAGGACTTCATTTCATTATATTGTGCATCGTTTTACTTCGCTTGGCCTAACTCGTGAAGTTTGAGATAAAATGGACCGTAAGTTTATTGATCAAAAGCAAAGTTAGGTCCACATTGTTTATTATCCTATTGATCCTAAATTATCAACTAGTCTAAGGATTTGTTTCTAGTACACATGCTTTCTTGGTACGTACATGCATATCTGACTCATAATTATTATTTTGATCATACGATGCGATTAGTATCAAAACAATTTCAATCATTGATTTTGGTCTTTTGGACTATGATGGCAAGGAAATTGATGGATTTGCCCTGCATGCACAAGTGATCAAGGCCGCTTAATGGAGGCATTGCAAATTTTATAAATAAATTGTCACTGGGTCTATCCAACGATCGCGGTTCCCCCTGCATCCAATCCAACGGTGCATGCATGCGGCATGCCTTTGAGCAAGTTCTCATAATTGGGCATGTGAGCACCATAGTAGGGTTGTATTTTGAGGATTTGGGATATGGAATTTATAGTTCATGATTTTGGGATTATAATATAAGTTTGAGACATATAGGGTCATGCATCAGATTAAACTAATAATAGCAATTAATATAGGGCTATAGGTATAAATGTCCTTCTACTATATATTTTTATCAAATATGTCCATCTACTATTTATTACACTAGTACTCGGTCCGCGCTTCGCGGCGGGGTAAGTCTGACTCCAGTTATTTTGTGGATTTTGTCATGTTCTTTCTGCTATACCATTCGCAAATAGTTTAGATTCATTGCGCCAGAGAGCGCAGAAATTAACAAACATATTAACAAACTTTGTACACACCACACATATACATCTGCCATAGTTTTGTCTTCATTGAAAATAGGGAATAAAAACTTTAGTATCTGATGCCCTCGACGAAATTAAAAAACACAAACACATCTGCCATAGTTTTGTCTTCACTGAAAATAGGGAATAGAAACTTCAGTTTAAAATGGAGAATTCTAGGGGTGGATGGGATACTTCGGTTGGTCTTTCTGTCAGTAG